GGGATGGAGCGTGATTCTTATTCAAATTGGGGCCTGGCGCTGAAAGGCCCGGCCGTCGCCAGGCTACGGGAATGTCACAGCCGATTCTTTCTGCTTGGCGGCTCGCGCACGCACGGACACACACGCACCCAGGCTGTGCCGGGCAGGCAGGGGGCATCCCGCGGCCTGCACCGCAGCTCCCGGCTGCCACAGCCCAGGCCTGCATGGGGCATGGTGGAGCCCGGGTTGGGCCCCTGTCAGGGCTCCCTCTGCCAGGCAGGGCTCACGCACTGCCCCTGCCCGCGCTGCCGGCCGTGGAAGAGGCCGCAGCCTCAGCTACCTCCGGGGCACGATAGGAGCAGCCCTGCGTGCAGGACAAGCGCGGGGCACCGTGGCCATCGTGGCCACCACAGTGCCTAGCACGTGGGGGAGCAGGCGCCGGGAGTGTGGGGCAGGCCGGCGGCACCAGAGGGAACAAAGGGGCAGCGTGTTCCCTGGGTGCCCGCAGCAGCCAGGCAGGAATGTGGTGCTGGCCCCAGGCCCCACAGGACACAGCGGGGTGGGCGGCCCTCTCCTCCCGCGCTTCCTCCCTCCAGCCTGGGAAACGGCCCAGGCCCCTGTTCCCAGGCCACCGGGGAGGGGAGGGATGCGGGAGCAGCGGGGCTGGTGCCTTTGGGAGGAGCCCGGCCCCGCAGCCTCCCCTGCCCTGGCACTGGCCCCCGTAGCACTGGGCCAGGCCCTGCCACGGCCCTGGCAGGGCCCCGCAGCTCACGCCCATGGGGCTCCCCACACAATGACCCTGGCCACCGCGCTTGCTGCCAGGGCATGTGCTGACACCCGTGGGCACCCGGGACCAGCCAGCCCCATGTGGGTCACGCCCTGCAGAGCCCAGCGCCCCAGGCCGGCACTCCCTGGCTCCATGAAGCAGGTGTGTTGCCCGCGGGGCCCAGCCGCCTCCTACAGCCGCTGCCTGGCACCATGTGCTGGCCCCGTAACCTCCTGCCCTGCGGGCTGAGGGCCCCTGCCCTGCTGCGCCGCATCGGCTGTCATCCCTGGGCAGGTCCCAGCCCAGGGGCTGCTCCTCCCAGAGGAATGGGGCAACGGGGCTCTTGCCAAGGCCCGGAGCAGTGGAGCTGGCATGTAGCGGTGCAGGTGTCCCGGCTGCCCACACGCCCAGGAGCAGGCCCTGCCTGCGGTTGCTGGGCCCAGGGCTGTGCAGCGCAGGAGCAGGGAGCTTGTGGTGCCCCGGCTGGGCTGGGCCAGTACCTGGGTGGCTGTCTCTGCTCGGCCCCAGGTCCAGGGTGCCACCTGCCCGGGCAGCGGGGCTCCGGCCCTCCACCCTGCGGCCTGCTCGGCTCTGGGCTGGGCCGGGCTGTTTGTTCCTGGAGCAGGTTCCCTCCCCCGTCTCCTCCTCCCGGAGCTGAGCCATGAAGGGAGGGACCTGCTGGCTGCTCAGGTGAGGTAGGCGCCAGGTGCAGCCATGCCAGGAGCCGCCGGGGGTGGGGGGGGAAGCTGGGAGTCGTGCCCTGCCTTGCCCCGGCCCTCGGGTCTGCTGCAACAGAGATGGCCCCAGTCCCTTCGCTGCACCAGCCCAGCCCCAGCTCACCTGCACAGGCGAGGAAACAGTCTGGGCATGACCTCTGGCTCCTGGTCTCATCACAGGCCTGGCCCCCTGCGACCGGGCGGCTGGGAGAGGACCCAGGGCAGGGCTACTCCCTTTGCCAGACTTGGTCACTGCCCTGAGCAGGAGCCCAGAGAGACCCCCAGCCTGACCGCCACGGCCAGGCAGGCCCTGGGGCTGCTGCACAGGTGCTGCCTGGGCTCTGTGCTGGGCATCGCTTGCTGCCACAGTCCAGGACAGGCAGGAGGGGAAGAGGAGACGGGTCCATGGGGTGGGGCAGGGGACCCCACTCCCACAGCCCAGGGCCCAAGCAGAGATGGAGGCAAAGCACTGTCCCACAGGGAGACACCAGCACCAGGGAGGAGATGGCTCAGAGGCACTGCCCACAACCCCTGCTACAGCACCCAGTGGTGGCAGCAGCTCCAGGCCCAGCCCCAGCCCCAGCAGCCACAGCTGCTCCCCACCCCCCCCAGGCGAGGCAGAGGCCCGAGCAACCTCTTCCAGCGTAAAGACAACGCAGATGTGGTAGCTGGGTTGTGAAGCACCATTTTACTGGAGGGGATGGGCCAGGCCGGGGCCTCGTAACAAAAGGTCACGTCATTGAAGAAAAGACAGTTTGTCCCAGCGCCGCAGCTGGGCATTAGTAGGAGGAGCCAGGAGCTGCCTGGCTGCAGCCTGACGCCCCTGGGGTGGGCACACAGCACGGGAGACTTGCCTGTGTGGACCAGGGCATAGGCAGTCCACACATGGCACGGCGGTCTCCGGCTCCGGAGCAGCAGGAAGCTCCGTGGCAGGGTGGGTGGCAGCCCCACCAAGGCTGGGCTGTGGCGCAGCTGCCACAAGAGAGCACACAGCCGCTGTGCTATACAACCAGAGCCCCGCAGACGAGGGCAGGAATGTGCTGGTTGTGCTACAGGAACCGCTCGCTCCCACTGAGCCCAGAGGCCAACGAAGCCCAGCCAAATGAGAGGCTTCAAAGTGCTCTGGGTCCTCCAGGGCCTGTGGTCAGGGCCCTGAGGGCAGCTCCGCTGCATCTGCCTCTTGACACCACTGCTCTGGCCAGGCGGGTGCTGGCACCCCCAGGCAGGTGGCATGGGTGCAGGCAGCCGCCCAGAGCGACAGGGGCAGAAGGGCCAATTAAGGCAGATGACAACACAGCCAGTGGGGCCGGGTGCAGGCGGTCATGCCCCAGGCTCTCAGGGACTAGGATGAGGGCAGGCCTGACACTCAGATCCCCTCCCTGCTTATACAGAGAAGGCTGGGACCACTGCTCTCCCCGGCAGCATTGAGGGCACAGGCAAGACCCGGCAGGTGACAGGATCCCAGCAGGGTCTGGCAAGTGCTAGGAGTGCTGCATCCTGTGAGAAGCCAGAGAAGGGCTTGCTGCAGGAACCAGGCAGAAGCAAGCCCAGCCATCGCTGCATCTCTGGTCTCCTTCAGCCTGGCTCCTGCTTCTCTCCAGCCCCCCCATCTCAGCCCCTGCCCCGTAGCTGGGGGCAGCTCCTACTGTGCAGGCTGCGACTGGGAAAACACTAGACAACAGTCGGTTGGGGCTGCCCAGGCCCAGGACAGGGTGACAAGGGACCCCAGTGAAACCCTGTGGGACCAGAAGGAAGGCACAGCCCCCACAGGCTGCTGGGCTCTAAGTCAGCCAGGAGGCACCTGGTCCATGGCTCTCACCAGCAATGCCTGCCCCTACCTCTGCCAGTATCAGCACAGGGAGGGGCTGAGCACTGCTGCAGGATCAGCCAGGTGAGGGTGGAGGCAGCCCCACAGCACAGGGATCTGAAACACAGCGCCCCAGGACATGCTCCGGCAGCTGCTCCCTACCAGAGGGGCTGCACCTACCAACACCAGGCTGCTGGAGCCCAAACAGCTCCGTGTGGATACCTGCCCAGGGGCTCGTACCCGGGCACCCCAAGTACAGTGCGCCAACATGAGCACTGCAGCATGTGCGAGTGCTGCAGCCTGGCAGGAAGCCCGGGCCTGCCGAGAACCTAGGGGATAGGGGTGCTTGCAGGGGTCCTGGAAAGAGCCGAGGGAGGGGACAACAGGGACGGAGGGTCCAGGCTGGGCAGTAGTGGTCAAAGGGCCCATGAAAGGGGAACATTGGGAAAATTAACACAGCAGGGGCCTGCAACAAGGGGCCAAGCGGCGACTTCTACAGTCGCCTGGGACCCCCCAAAACTCCTCAAATACTCAGGGCTGGGGCATTTGGCAAAGTAAGAGCACAATCAAAAGTCGGAGACAGGGAGGGATGGCCCAGCCCCAGCATGAGCTGCCAGTTGCTCCAGGGCTCTAGGGAGGGCTGCACGCACAAGTGCTGTGGGGCCTGCTGTGCTGGGCCTTGGGGTCCACTCCCCGCCCAGCCCCCAGCCTGCTCAGTGACATGGAGGAAGCTGTCCCCTCGCCCCGCATCAGCTAGCTGTGCTGGATAGCACTGGAATGGCTGCATCGCGGCCAGGATGGCTGGTACAGAGAATGGAGCTCTGAGCTGCAGCCAAGGCTGAGCCACCGACTACTGGCCCTGGTGCTGACAGGAAAGGGACAGGTCCTGCGGGGCCCGAGTCCCCAGCTACTATGCCCACTGTACAGCAAGGCCAGGCCCTGCCTGCCCCAGGGTGACAACCCCTTGCATTTGGTACCTGGGCCAGATCAGCTGGGCATGAGGCCCACTGGCTGCCCCTCCCTGCAGGACAACAGTCCTTTCCACCTTCTGACACACTGCGAATGACACTGCGCATACCCTGCGGCGCAGCCCACCCTTCGGCAGCAGGAGGTAGAACCTACTCTCACCCAATCTGCAGCATTGGCACCGGTGGGGTTGCACATGCATTCCCTGCCTGCCCAGGAGGGGTGGGGCACAGAGGCCCAGAGCAGGCAGGCAGACACCCTGCAGTGTCCCTGCTGGGCACTAGATAAGCTGCCGAATCTTTAACCCACAGTGAGAAACTTTAGTGCCTGAGCCCTTTCCCCCTGCATCACAGCCTCAAACCTTAAGACTGTCCATATGTTCAAAAACCAGGCGCAATCAACCGTATCCCCCCCGGACCCTTCTGCTGCAGCTCCTCTGGGCTTGCCCATGAACATGTCACAGGCACCAGTGGAATGCTGGGCCCACTGAGTACAGTCCCAAGCACCCGGGGCAGGGGAGTGGTTTTTGTCCCCATGAGAAGCTGCTCCAGCACCCTCCGCGACAGCCAAGTGGTTCAAGTCTGACCAGGGAATGTCAGGTGACTACCAGCGGACAGCTCCAGGCCTCAGCCGACTGCCAGCACAGTGCCACATGGGCACACCCTCGGTCCCAGGGTAGAAGCGCTGACAGGAGGCAATGCTGCGGCTAGAGCTCAGCACTGCTGCTGACAACAAAGGGAGGACATATGAGAAAAGCTGTGTGGGCCCCAGGGCAGCAGCTCAGCCCTGTTCCTCTGGCACATGGCGGTGGTCACAGGCACAGCACAAGGAGACTGACATTCGACACCCAGCTGGGATGCTCCCAGGCTGCGCTGTGCTTCCCAGGGCTGGAGGGGCAGCAACTCCACTTGCTTTGGCAGGAGCCCAGAGCCAGCTGATGACAACACTGTAAGGAGGGGAGAAATGTGGCACCTTCAAAGGAATGATGGACAGGGGGGAGAGGAGAGAGGGCAAACATCTCTGGAACCAAGCTCCAGAGGGGGCAGGTAGGACCAGTGCCCCTGACCGTCCTGGGCAGTCTGCACGTGTACAGATATAGATAATAACCTTAGAAAATTTGATTAAAATAAACCCAGGAAATGTACAACTTGGAAAGGGAGTGAAACGTCACAGTGCATCGACGGTGTGAGACATTCCCACGTCCTCCCACTGTGCAGGGCATGTGCCGCTGCTCCATTGGGAAGTTCCCGCAGGAGACCAGGGCTCTGGCCAGGGCAGCGCAGGGGCGGAAGGCATCCTCCTGCGTCTCTAAAAACGGTCTGTGCAGCCGCAGTCCAGCGCTGCACAATGCTGCCGGGCAGCCATTGCGATGGGCACAGGGCACGCGGCTCACAGGTGCAGGCAGTTGCTCCGCTATCGTCCCCAGGCGCCAGAGGACCGTGACTGCACTCAAACATCTCCATGTTCTGGCCTCAGCTCATGCTCGCTCGCTTAAAAGAGGTGGCAAAATGAGGCCCCTCAGGGAACACTGTGGGCATGGGAGAGGGGCTGGATTCGGATCACGGGGGACAGGTTGACCCTCAGGATCTGCTGGGCTCTCCTCCGTACTTCGTCGTCCGAGGAAGAACCGTCCACCTTGATGACCCGGAACTTGAGCAGGTTCCAGGCGCTCGGCGCCCGGTCGGCCTTGTGCGGTGCCGGCATGGCATTGGCCGTTGCCTTCTGTGGCGTCTCTCTGGGCTCCAGAGTCCTCTTCCTCTTCTGCCCGGTGGTCTCTGTGGGCCCGCTACTCTCCCTCCACTCCATTCTGCCCCCAGGGACCTCCCTGGCTCTGACTTTGGAGGCCTTGGCCGGTGGCCCGCCGCTAATGCTCTGCGAGGAGCTGCCCGTGATGCGCCCGTTCAGGACCCCAGACGCCTTGCAGGCATTGCTTTCCTGCAGCACGCCACCCTTCGGTCCCTTCAGAAGCCCTGCAGCAAGGCTAGAGGAGTCAGGTACTTTCTTAGTGAAGTGTTTGCAGCCTTTGGGATCCAGCGGGCCCGACGTTACCTTAGCGGTTCTGGCCGACGCACTTGATGCCTTGTGGAGCCTGTGGTCCGAGGGGGAGAGGCCTAGTTGCCCTGGCTTGTATTTTGATTCCAAGCAGGGGGCTGCAGTTTTCAGGGGAACCAGGGCTTCCAGCACCACAGACAGCCTCACGGCTGGGTACACGTCAGGGTACATATTAGCAGGAAAGGCCATGGCTGGGGCTTTTGAGGTGCCCGACCTGGTCTGTTTCAATGAGTTCAAGAGGAGATTTGTAGAACTGCCTTTGGAGACTGGCTTGGGGGAGACTGTGGAAGAGCTCACTGAGATCCCAGCCAGCGGAGCTGCCATCCTGGTCGGGGTTGCTGTGGGTCTGGCAGGAGCACTGGCAGAGTCGGGTGCTGTGGCCGTGCCAGAGCTGTGCTGTATGCTCTCTTCAGTCTGCCCAGGTGTGTCCGCTGTGCACGAGCTGTAGCCGTACACATCCTTGCTTCTCAGGATTGTGGGCTGGTAGCCCTCCTCCCTGAGGCCCTGGAGAAAGGCCACCAGCTGGGTCTCAGTGTCAGAGAGGTCCTTAGACATGGGGTTGAAGACGCGGAGGGCTTCCTCCAGGGCTTTCTGTCCTGCAGACGAGATTCGTGACCAGGAATGCACAGCTTTTTCTTCCACATTGTTCACTGCAATATTCATGGCATTAGGCAAGCAGGAGCTTCCAGGGGGTTTGAATTACTTGAATGCCAACGCTGGACACCTCAAAGGGAAAGAGAGAAGAGAGTTAACTGACACCACAGGCATGATGCCCCACAGTGCTGCAGGACTGCCACTGGGGACCCTTGTGACTGCCTGGGCTATGCAAGCCAGATGTGCCCCGAGCACTGCCTGCAGTGGCCTCAACAACTATAGGACGTCCGCTTCCCAACAGTGGCAAATGCACCCCAGAACTAGAGCTGCTTCAGGGGCATATCTACACCTCGCTGACCAGCACCAACTCCATCTTTGCCTCTGGCTGCCTGCCAAGGCACTCAGTCACCAGAGATCCCTTCTGTGTCCACGGCCACAACCACATCCCTTCAACCCTCCTGCAGACTGAGCCCTCACAGCCGCTGCTGTAGGTCACGTTCAGTCTCCAGCCCCGGAATCACCCCACGGTTCTGATCCTGCTCTAACTCCAGAGCGTCCTGTTTGAAGCACGCACCGTCGGATGGAGGGTTACCCCCTGCAGGGTTCCCCATGCCCACTGGCTGCTCCCATCTGCGGAGCCATCTGCAACTTGCTGTCAGGGCACACCATTGCCAAACTAAGGATACTCGCCTGCCAAAGCAGCAGAAGATGGGTTTCCACTGAAGCACGACCTGCAGCAGCCAGGGAGCAAGGAAGCCTGACACCTGGGTGCCTGGAAGCTGGGGTGGGTGGACCAGAGGAATGATGTCACATCACCTTTAGACCCATGACTACCTACACAGGCGAGGCATGAACAGCCAGCTACAGATGGGAACCAGGAGGCAGAACCGGGTGCTGCAGAAACTGGAAGAAGGGTACAGCAGTACCCGAGAGCTCAGCTATGCCCCTCTCCCAGCTCTACAGGCAGTCGCTACTCACAACAATCCTTGCCTCTGGCATTTTCCCTGGGCCCTCAAGGACAATACTTCACTCCAAGGCTGCCACAAGATAAGCAGTCACTCCGCCCCCAGCGAGCAGGCAATTTTGCAAGTGGGAGCAGCAGCACAAACTGGGCAAGAGCAGTAAAAACAGGCTGTAAAACCATTAGCTAGGAGGCACCTCCAGACCCCGCAGAAAAGCAGCTTAGTATTTGGCAAATGTTCCCCTCCCCAAGTTCAAAGGCCTTGGGCAGGTGCAAGGAGAAGGGAAGCACAGACTCCAGGGTGAGGACTGGAAAACGAACACACCTAGAGATTAGCTCAGAGCCCTGCTCAGCCCCCTCCAGAGCTAGCGCCACCCCCAGCCCCAGGGCACCCAGAGCAGAGCAGGCCGCGGGGCAAGCACAGGGTCGGAGGCCAGTCCCTACCCCAAGAGCTCCTCATCCCAGCTCAGCACCGGACCTGGACGACACGAAGAAACCCCTGTGAGCACTGGGAGCGTGGCTGAGGATGGGTACTGCGGCAGGGTGCCCACGCGGGCAGCAGCGGAGAGCGAGGCTCCGAGTGGCGCAGGGGCAGCGAGAGCAGCAGGGGGAGGCCGTGCAGGGAGAGCGAGGATATACCACAGTGGGAGGGAGCGGGACAGCGGGGCAGGATAACGGCTGGCACCGCCACACTGGAGCCTGCGGCTGGCACAGTCAGGGGTCCGCACCCCCGCCCGCTGGTGCGGCCCTTCAAGCTGCGGATCGGGGACACAGACACGGGCGAGCAGCGTCCCCCGCCCGCACCGGTAGCCCCACGGGACACCGGCCACAGCGCGAGGGCGAGTCCCGGGCGGCCCCACCAGCGACAGCGCGAGGCGCCATGCACGGCCCAGCG